AATTGTTTGTCTATGATTTGGATTAGATTTCATCATCTAATCGTTGATGTATCTAATTTACTTGTATCCACGACCTACCTCACAGATCGCAGAACAGATGTATTTGGGACATCGAAGATGCCTCAATCTTTCAAAGCCTCGATCCTGGTTCAATTGTAAGGAGAATCAAAAAAAAATCTTAGGACAGAGTTTTATAACAGTCTTATGACATTCCATGGTTATGTTGATGAGAATGTTCTCTCGGAAGAATTGTTAAACAAATGTTGTGAAGCCGGACTCATGATCGAAGTAGCACCTAAAGCAGAAGGTGATTGATTTTTCTTTTATTTTCTCTTTGTTACTTATATATATATGCGTGTACGTAGTGTAATCTGAGATTGTTGTTGTTTGTGTACTATTCTTGCAGGGGTTAAAAGACTTGATTTGCTGTTTGTGTACATCCTTTTGATTGCATATAATAAACGTGGTAGCAAGTACTCTCAAAACATCCTTGTACTCTCAAAAGACATCGGACAAGGCAGCCAGTACGTCCAATTTCTTGAAACTTTGGAATCAGAATATATGAATGTTGGCTTTGCAGATCTTCATATGTTCGTAAACTCAGGCCTAAGCGGAAGCAAGCAACAAATAGTGTGTGCTGAGTGTAAGGAGTTTCTTGGATATCGCTTAGAAGATCCTGATAGGTTCCAAAGCTTAGAACTTAGGAACTTAAACCTAAGCGGAAGCTCACAAGCACCTATTATAAGCACACAAGCACCTATTGTCCGAAGCGAAAGTTCACAAGCAGAAAAGCATATTACACTCTGTGCTCATTGTCAGTTCTGTGTGAACGCTAGTTAGCTCTGTGACTTTATGTTGGGAGTATAATATTATGTTGTGCTGTGTGTAGATTCCGTAAAACAGATCACTATCTGTTGCTTTTACAATGCGTCTATGCCTCATCTTGTTCTACATTTTATAATAAGACTATTAAATCGCAAGTCATATAACCTTTGTTCATCACACACCTATTTTTCCTTTTATAAGACTATTAAATCACAATTGCAGAAGTAGCACCCAAACCTCTACTTTCAGAAAAATGTTGGATATTCAAGACTCACCTACGGTTAAACATTGTCAGACCGAATCAGATTGTTATAATGTTTCGAAAGCTTTGAAATTTCAGGCTAATACTTTGTTTGAAAAAAGGAGAAAAATTAAATACACCAGAAGTGGAATTGAGTAGTAGTATCCAACACGTGAATACTATGATACTACATTTCCTCTCTTGAAGTACTTTTATCAAACGGCTTAATATTGTGGGACGTTATATTTTAAATACAGAATTTACATATCTCTGTTTAGTTGCTGTTACATCAAATTGATTCATATGAAATTCTGCGTTGAGCTAAAAATATCGTATACCCTCCATTGCTTAAAATTTTCATTGACCACTTGAAGTGATTATCCCGTGAAATGATGAAGATGTTCTAGGGTTAATGTCACGGTGTTACATTGCATATTCAACCAAATGTGATATCAACGATGTATCTAGCGGATGTTCTCCGATCCAGCATGTTTTCCAATCTTGTCGTTGTCATTAGCACATTTTCACAACAAAATTGTCTCTCAGGTGCATACAAGAAATTGAAACATGCCCTAAAAGATTTTTTTTGTTTGCTTCAAAAGATTCTTTTCTTGAATCGCAAATTGCAATCATAGTTTTGCTAAGACGATACCTTGGGTTGTTGTTGTTCATGTAGCCTTCTAAGATCGGTTTTAAAGTTATTGACCAATGTATCTATGGGATAATCATCAGGAACTAGGCAAGTGAACATGTCACAAAAGAAAAGCCACTTTAAAATCTCAGAAGTTTATAGCAATAATGAAATCCTCAGTAATCTAAAACTGGTAAATAAATCTAAATAATCTGAAGTCATATCTAGGAAAAACCATAAAATCCCTTTAAGCAAGGAAAGAAACAAAACTAGTTGATAAATGTATGAAGAGATAGAAAGAGAACTTACCATTGAGTAGTCTCCAGGGTGGTGTCGTCGTCGAAGTTTCTCTTTTTTGTTACGAAATATTGTAATTACAAGGTGCTACTGGATTGAAATCGTTGGAATCTCATGAAAATATGAACATATTAGCCACGTATAACAATTATTTGTACAAATATTTACGTAGATTTGAAACTCCATGTATATGACAATACAAGTACGGTTGAATAGTTGGTTAGATTCCTTAAATACAAATTAAGTTATATGCCATAATTTATCGGAAAATTCTGAAAATAATCCAAAAATAATTAAAATTAAAAAATAGGCCATATTTTTTATAATTAAAAAGTAGGCTAAAATTTACATAATTT